AAAAAAAAAAAAAAATGTTCAAAAAATAAAAGCTTAATTGATCTTAATTAAGATTAAACAAAAAATGATAAAAAAAGATTCCTTGATTAAAAAAACTACCAAAAAAAAAAAAAGATATTACATTTTTTTTTATTTCAAATAAGCAAAGGGTTAGAAGCATAAAACTGGGAAAGCAATACTATATTAAAAGATTTGGAAAATAGTGACAGCAACGGCGTCGGAGCTGCTGTTGATCCAAAAATTGCAGCAGTACAACCAAATTGGTGAAGCTGTTGCTGCAACAGCAACTATTAGTAGACAGATTTCTTAAATTGGTCATTAAATTCTTACTGTTATTGCTGACAACAGAAACAGTAATAGCGTAAACAAAAAAAACAGAAATTATTTAATCTTTCTATGATTTTATTCATACTTTTTTTTTTTTTTTTTGCCTACGTTGTTTCATATTGTCTGATCATATTGGACACTTCTGTTGTTTTATGTGATTTTCAATTTTCGAGGCTATATCCAAAGTAATGTAATTATGGTGACTATAATAAACATGACCACTTTTTGTTTTTTTTTCGTTCAACCACATGTTAAAAATTTAAAAAAGTAAAATCTGCTAACAGTGAAATTAAGTTCAGCTGAAACTTAGAGGCAAGACAGAAATCTGAAAAAAGCGTAAACGGCTATGTGTTTCAAATGGCGTTTTGCATATGGCAAATGCAAATAATCTAAATTAATCGTTTTTTAGTACAGTGTCTGCCATTGTTTTTGTCGCTAAAGCTACTGCTGCTATTAGTGTTAGCAGTAAGTTAAAAAAAAAAAAAGAAAAATTTTTCTAGAACTTTTTGTATCAATTTTTAACTTTTAGATCTATGAATGAATTTTAGCAGCTTCTTCAAAAGCTATATTCCCAACGGTACTTTGAGGCATTTACTGCGCCGCCCTAAATTCAGTGTTGTTGGCACTCTGTTAGCTTTGTCTTCTGTTCGGTTTCCCCAATCTTCCTCCTCTTCTTCTCCACTGCAGTTTTCGCTTCCTATATATATCACCGTAGTAAACGAGTCTTTCAGAGGCAACATGCTTTTTTTTTTTTCAATAGGCACAACACATGAGCCAATGCCAGAAGCTTTGCATTGCAGTTAAAACATGGCGCATGCACAGTGGACAAGCAATCTTCAGTTGATATGTTTACTGGGCTGCGAAAATCCAAAAACAATGCCTTTCATCTTCTCTACAATATTTTCGCCTTTCGTCTCATTTCATTTTTCTTTCTGATACTCAATTTCTAAGCTTTATTTATTGTCCACTGTCACTGTGGACAAACAAACAAACAGATAATAAAGAAATAAAATAAATATTTAAAAAAAAAATTTTTTTTTCTTTTGTTGTCTTTTAACTTTTTTTCCTTTCATCAATAGTAGTAAAATTTAAGCAAGAAAAAATTTTTAACCACTTTTATCTGGTAAATTTTTAAATTTTTTTTTTTTTTTTTTTTTTGTTG